TCCCCCAATTCCCCAGCACTGTTCCCATCCCCCCAATTCCCCAATAAAAATCTTAAAAAAAAAGACAACTATTAATACTTTTAGATAAGAGATATTGTAATAAAGGATTGAATCCAAGAAAACACACTTGAAAAATAAAACCATGAGGGAAAGAATGAAAAATCTAACAAAGGTCGAAAGAAATTGAGGAATAGTCCTAGCAAGTAAGCAAAAGAAAAGAGATGGCATATACAGGACAAAAAAAGAGAGAGAGAGAAAATATGAGAATCAGTCCAAGGGGCTTAAATTCTATAAGAGATCAGAGAAAATGAAGAGGAAGACAGGACTTGGCTTCCAGATGAAAAGGGACTATCAAGTGCCCAGCATCAAGGCACATCATGAAATAATCAGAACACTAGATGCAAAGAAAAAGATCTTGTAAAAACTTCCAGAGAGAACACAGACCACATACTAAATTTAAGGACCAGCAATCAGATTGGCGTTGGGCCTCTTAAGAGTAACACTTCAAACTAGAAGACAATGGATTGATGCTTTCAACCCACTGGGGAAAAGTGATTTCCAATCTGGAATTCTGTACTCCAGCTATGCTAGGGTGAAGGCTAAAAATGCAATGACTCAACAAAATAGAACTTAAAATTTTTTTCTCAAAAAACAGTTCAGTGTGGGTAGTTCAGTGTGCTGCACAGTCATACAGAGACCAAGCTAGCAATGCAGCTCTGCCATCTTTCAGGATGCTCAAAAAGTGTGGTCTGCAGGCCAACAGCATTAGCATTACCTAGAAGCTTGTTAGAAATGCAGAATTTCAGGCCCCACCACAGACCTGCTGAATCAATACCTGTGTTTGAAGATCCCCAGGTGATCTATATGCACAGTAAAATCTGAGAAACACTGTTCTAGGGCATTGTCTTCAGTGTCAAAACGGCATCCCTGAGTCCCCCCTGGCAGGAAAAGGGAAGAAAAAATGTAGAGAAGGCACACCTATCTCAGAGGTCTGGCTAGGAAGTGGCCCATATAAGTTCTGCTCACATTCCTTTGAAGAAAACTTAGTCATGTGGTCTCAACCAAATTGGGTTCTGGGAAATTCAGTCCTTACCTAGGTGGCCAGCTACTGTTCTAGCACTATGGAAGAAAAGATTTTAGCAGATATCTAGACTCTCACAACAGCCAAACTATCAATAAAGCAGATAGAATAAAGACATTTTGATATATACAGGATCTCAAAATTTTCTTCCAAGTACCTTTTCTCAGGTTATTAGAATTAGAATGAGATTAGAAGGCTCTTGGAGAGATCTCTTCAAGGAGATGAAAGAGATGAAGAGCTGTTTTGTTTTTGAGTGACTTGAGATGATAACTTTTGGAAGAGAGTATAGGGCAGAATTAGTGATAAATTCAGAGAATAAGCAAATTTTAAAATGACAGTTACTCAGGGAAAATAAAGTTGTGCAAGAAGAGAAAGATGATCAATATCACATGACTTAGCTATGAATAACATTTGCATAATCATAATAATGTAAATAGTGAATATTGATCTAACCCCAATTGATATAATTCTCTTGGGAGTGTGGGATGCAGGGGTGGGATAGAAAATGATCCATGGTGGGGCAGAGGGAAGAAAGGGAGTTCAGTTTTCACCTTACATGAAGGGGAGCCAGTGGATGGTGCTTAAAACAAAAACTAAGAAGTAGCAGAATGAGCATGTTGTTTAGCGATATGGAGGGAAATACCAAAGGAAACATCTAAATGAGGTGAAAGTAGTTGCCTCTGAGAAGGAAACTGGAGAGGGAAAGGGTTTACTCTTTATTGTAATAGGCCTTGTAGTCCTATCTGACTCCTTAACCTATGTGCATATATAGCTTTGAAAATAAATACAATAAAAATGAAAAGTGAGGGGCCGGCCGAGTGGCACATTAGTTAGGAGTTGGCTTGGGACTTCAGCTCTGAGTAGTAGGGCCCCGGTTCAGATCCCAAATGTGGGCCAGTGATGCTACGCCCTCTACAGCTAAGATGGTGAACAACAGCTCAACTTGGAGCTGGGCTGCTGTGAGTCGCAGTGGGGCTGGCCAGCAGCAGGCATGTGCTATTGTGAGCTGCCGTGAGCTGCTGTGAGCAGCTGTCCAATGGCTGGCGAGCGAATGCCTTTCCCGGGAAGAGCACAATGATAATACCACATGGGCCAGTGAAGCGTTGTCCTCCACAACTAGACTGAAGAACAAAAAAGGACAGCAACTTGTCTGTTCACCTTCCCCAATTCCCCAACGTTGTTCCCCTCCCCCAATTCCCCAATAAAATCTTAAAAAAAAAAGAAAAAAGGAAAGTGAAGGGAAATAAAGATAAACTTTACTCTGAAAGAGGCTTAGGTGTTGGAGGAGTGTTTTTCTCTTTGATTTCCTTTCTCCCTCCTTCCTTTCCTCCTTTGCTCAACACTCCCTCCCTTTCTCCCTTCCTTCCTTTAGTGGAAGAGACTTGTGTGGGCTTATGTACCATGGAAGAAGAACCAGTAGAGAGAGGCAGAGGTAGAAGAGATGGGAGTGGTTTGATGAATCAAGGTCTTAGAGGAGGTGGTGGGGGGGGGGGAGCAATCTGAGGACAGGTGGAGGGATTAGCTTTGAACTGGAGAAGGCATCTTACCTTGGTTATCTAGGAGAATTGGTATAGATAACAGTGTTTGTCAGTAGGAGGTGGGAAATTGAAATCATTCATCCCTTAGCTTAATCTCTGTGAAAAACAGAAGGCAAAGTCACTATAAGCGTGAGGAAGGTTTGCAAAATTAGTGAGTAGGATGGGAGCAGGAATGGGAGGTGATCAGGGATATGGAGAGGAGCAAAGGGTTATCAGCTATTGAGGGCCCAGCTGAGGTTAGGGACCATAAGTTTGTAGTGACCCCAAATCCGTACCCAGCACAGTGTTGGCACATAGGATGTGTTAAAAAATATTTGAAGAATGAACTAATAAATATGGTCGTGTGATTTTTCTCTGGCAGTGCTCAGCAGCCCAGGGTTGGAGCGGAGAAGGGTGGGGTTTGAGAGCAGGTTTTGTGAAGGGAGAAATTGATGGTGCTGATAAAATAGTGATTGATATGAGGATCTTAAAGTTTAGCCTGGAAAGAAAACGAAGTGTGAAATTGTGAGGAAACAGAAGGGCCAAGAGCTTTGTGACAAAAAAGTCAAAAAGCCATACAAAACATGATTATATTAGGCTACATTAAAATTTAAAACTTATGAATTATTAAAAATACCAGAAGTAAAATACTTTGAAACTAGAAGTGATGGTTGCACAACATTGTGAATGTACTAAATGCCAGTGAATTGTATACTATAAAAATGGTTAATTTTATGTCATGAATTTGACCTCAGTAAAAAAACAAAACCAAAACTAGAAACAAATGAAAAAACAACAAACTGGGAAAAAATATTTGCAAAATATGTGACAAAGGGCTGATTTCTTTACTACATAAAGAGCTCTTAGAGTACATTAAGAAGATAACATCAACCCAATAAATATGGTTCATCCGAACTCTTAAACAAAGAAATGTAAATTAAAACAGGGTGGAAAGGGGCAAATGGCTCAGTAGGTTAACAGCGCGAGCTCTGAGCAACAGGGTTGCCGGTTCGATTCCCACATGGTCCGGTGAGCTGCACCTGCGCTGAGCTGCCACTGAGCTGCCAACGGGTGGCAGGATGGCTCAGCTAGTGAGAGCATGTGCTCCTAACAACAAGATTGCTCGTTTGACTCCTGCATGGGATGGTGGGCTATGCCCACTCATGACTAAGATTGAACACGGCACCTTGAGCTGAGCAGCCACAAGCTGCCAAAGGGTGGCCGGATGGCCACTGGACTTGGAGCTGAGCTAGCTGCGCCCTCCACAACTAAGATTTAAGGACAACGACTTGGCTGTTCCCCTTCCCCAATAAAATCTTTAAAAAAAGAAAAGAAAAGAAACCAGGATGGTAAAACATGTCACTTGCTTGACTGGCCATGATAAAAAGATGCTCACCCTCTTTGATCCACCGATTCTACTTTTGAGAATTTGCCCTGCAGATATATTTTACTTGGGCAAAAGGACATATCTTCAAAGATAATTATTGTTATACTCTTTGAATTAGCAAAAGAGTGGACATCCTTCCTGTCCATTGATAGGAAACTGGTACAAATAAATGACATTTAGGCGATGGAAAGCTGTGCAGCTCTTTAAAAGAATGAGGTAGATCTATATGTATATTAGAGGAATGCTCTCCGAGCTACATTAGTAAGGGAAAAAAGCAGGGTGTAGAAGAGTATTCATAGGATGCTACTGTCTGTATTTAAAGGGGGAAATATAGCCATGAATATGACTGAGTCTGAAGAATATCTTTGGAAGAATAATCAAGGAACTGATGATAGAGGTTGCCTGTGGGAATGAGAAATAGGAGGCTGGGAATCAGAGACAAGAGAGAGCCTTTTCACTGTTTGAATTTTGTTTTTTTTGAAACCATGTGCATGTTGTACTTTATTAAAAACATAAAAAAGGCATTGTTTCTCAAAGTGTGTGCGAATTCAAAATCCATATTTCATGGATTCTTCCTGGTACCACTGAGTCAGAATCTGGGAAAGTAGAGCCTGGGACTCTGTGTCTTTGTCTTGCCTCCCAAAGGATTCTGATTCATCTGAAAAAACTTGAGATCCAGGCCAGCAGAGTGGCTCAGTTGGTTAAGAGTTGGCTTAAGAGCATGAGCTCCAAGCAACAGGGCCGCCGGCTCGATTTCCACATAGGCCAGTGATGCTGCACCTGAGCTGAGCTGTCACTGAGCTGCCAACAGGTGGCAGGATGGCTCAGCTGGTGTAACAACAAGATTGCCTGTTCGATGGTGGGCTATGTCCACCCACAACTAAGACTGAACTTGGCACCTTGAGCTGAGCTGCCGCCCGGATGGCTCAGTGGATAGAGCGTGTGCACTTAACAACAAGACTGCTGGGCTTGACTCCTGCGTGGGATGGAGGCTACGCCCACCCGCAACTAAGACTGAACACAGCACCTTGAGCTTAGAGGCCACGAGCTGCTGACGGGAAGCCAGATGGCGACTGGTGCCCTTCACAACGACGACTGAAGAACAACTTGGCTGTTCCCTTCCCTCAATTCCCCAATGAAATCTTTAAAACAAAACAAACAAACAAACAAACTCTTGAGATCCTTGGGCCAAGAGCTCAGAGGTCAAGGAGCAGGTTCCCAGGAGTTAGAGGAATGCTCTATGTGATAAGGACCGGGGTGCAGCGTAGGCTGCTACTGTGGAAGGGTAAGCAAGGTCATTGGTATTGTGGCAGCACTTAAAGCTTGTGGGTAAATAATGATTTAATTAGACGTCATGAGCCAACATTGACTAAAGGCTTGTATGGACTGTCCCATGTGCCTTACCAGCCTCATCTGAAACTACTTTGCCCCCTGGCTGTCTTTGTTGTAGTCCTTCTGGCCCTTGAAATACTGCTGTTCCTTCCTGCCTTCATGTCTTCTTGTGGTGTTGCTATCACCCAGGATGCTGGAACGCCTATCTTTCAGCTCTGTGCTCAAAGGTCACTTCCTCCAGGGAAATCATCCCCAAAACCCAGCCTATGTCAGAACTCCTTGTCATGTGTTGTTGTTGTTTTTCTTTTTTTAGCTGAGCCATCCTGCCACCTGTTGGCAGCTCAGCAGCAGCTCAGCTCAGGAATTGAACCAGTGACCCTGTTGCTCAGAGCTTGCGCTCTTGAGTGAACTCTTAACCAACTGAGCCACTCGGCCGGCCCTCCCTTCATGTGTTCTGATAGCTCCCGTACTTCTCCTTTGGAGCACAGATATTGTAATTAAATAATTGGGGAATGATTTAATGTTTGTTTTAGTCACTACTATGTCTCTATACTATGCCTGGTACATAATAGGGACTTAAAAATCAGGATTGTTCATGGAATGAATGAACGAGCCTTAAGAGGAAAAGGAGAGAAAGGCTGGGCTACAGGAGTGGGAGTGGGTGATGGTGAGGAATGTCAGCTCTGCCTGGGGCTTTCGCCAGGCAGCCTCTGAGGAAGGGCAGAGGGGCAGCGGTTGGATGTAGCTTCTTGGACGTGCCCACAGCAGCATGACTCTTTGGCTGCCTAAAGCCTTGGCTTGTGTGTCGGACTGTTAAGTCCCAGGCTCCATGGAGATACTGTGTGGCTTGTGTCCGGGGAGGCCTGCAGCTGTGGTCTCACTGAGCCCCAGGAATGGACTGCTTGAGCAACCATAAGGAGCAGTGGAAATGAACACTCTCTGTTACAACAGGTCACCGTGCCGTCATGTGTGTCAGCCACAACAGGGAAGGGCCTGCCCTGCCCAGCCAGCTCCCAAGAGCTTCTAGTCTTCAGGGAAGTGGATTTTTCCCCCTATAAATGAATGAATGACTTTGTCGCTTTATTAAACTGTACCCTTGAGTTTGGACTGACCAAATCAAGTTTTGATGTTTACCTTGGAACACAGGTACAGCCCAATCATTCAATAAACATTTATTGACAGCCTGTGGGCCAGGTACCATGCGGGTGCAGAGGAGATAAGGTCCTCACCCACAAGCTAACAAACTCATGGATGAGCACAATGTATACTCCTTAAATGCTACATAGAAAACACACACACTCATGCCTATTAGAAGGTTTATTCTTTATGCTCAGAAACAAAGAAGTGGCCTTACCCCCCAAAGGGTCTCATCTTGAAGGAATGAGAGGCAGAGATAATGACAGGAGCGGGTGTTGGTGTGAGATTGAATGTGGGAGGTTTTTTTTGTTTTTTTAAGATTTTATTGGGGAATCGGGGCAGGGGAACAGACAAGTTGCTGTTCTTTTGTTCTTCAGTCTAGCTGTGGAGGACGTCGCCTCACTGGCCCATGTTGGTATTAACATTGTGCTCTTCCCAGGTGAGGCAGTCGCTCGCCGGCCATTGGACAGCCGCTCACAGCTGCTCACGCTGGCTGCTGGCCGCCGGCCACTCACAGTAGCTTATAGCAGCCCACTGCAGCAGGGGCTGCAGCCTACACCATCGCCTCATGGCAGCCCAGCTCCAGGTTGAGCTGTTGTTCACCATCTTAGCTGTAGAGGGCGCAGCATCACTGGCCCTCATGTGGGATCCGAACCTGGGCCCTGCTGCTCAGAGCTGGCGTCCCAAGCCAACTTTTAACTAATGTGCCACTCGGCCAGCCCGAATGTGGGAGTTTTTCTCCCCCCTTTTCCTACTATCCACTTTTCAGTGTCCCCCTCTAAAAAATTTAGGTATGAACACAGCTTGCCACCCATTGGGGGGTTGGGGAAGCACGGCTGTAATAAAAATATTAATGCCCACGTTCAACAAGAGATGGGTCCAGTGCGTATCTGATGGGGATAGGAGAAGGCAAGAGGGAAGGGGTTGGTTGAGGAAGCTGCTGGATGGAGGGGAAGGGAAAAGAGGCTGGGACCTACCCCAAAATGAAAGTGGGGATCTTGGTCCTGCCCCTACCTCTCCCAGCACCATCCACTCCCTTCCTCCAGCCCCCCTTCCTAGCAGAACTGGTCATCGTAGTCCTCATCCTTCATCCCCTTCAGCCGAAGCCGGGCAAAGTCTTCAAACACAATGTCGTCATCTGTGGCATAGCTTGGTGGTAGAAAGGAACGGGGTGAGGTGAAGGCTTCAGACTCTCTTCTTGACCTCCCACTCCCCTCCAGAGACTGGTATTACAGTGGCAATGGGACTTCAGGTATTTGCAGGAAGGGGCAGTAATAGGCAGCTCACAAGACTATCATGGATATGATGCTTCAGCCATCCCTCCCCCAAAAGAGAAAGAAACAGGAGGGTAGAAGGTAGATTTGAATGTTACAGGAATCTTTGTCCAAAGAGTCAAAGGTAGGAAGGGAGGGGATGAGGCTTACTTGGTATCAAATTCAATGAGGTTGGTGTCCACAGGGGCATCTGTTTCAGGAGCAGCTGAGGGGAGGAGGAAAGTGGGTGGGTGGGTGGTTGTGGGAAGGACCAGCTTTTCTCCACTGGTCTGGCTTCAGGCCCTCCCTTTGGGGGCTTGGGGTGGGTGGCATGCTCACCTGACTGGGGTCTGGGGGGGGCGATGTGGTCATGGGGCTTGGGGTGCATAAGAACAAAAGGCAGCTCCACAGAGACATCCCTGGGGAGGGAAGAAGCAGCATGAAGAGATGACGACAATGCAGAGCTGGAGGAAACCATTGCAAACCCTACCCCAGGCTGCCCCACCATACTTACCCGCCGCGAGATACCACCAGCTTCACCTTGACCCTGTACGACACCAGGATCCCCAGCACCTCCTTGTTGGCACCCTCTTTCACGCTACAATTGGGGGGAGAAGCTGGACCAGGGCCCATTGTCCTGCACCCTAACCCACCCTTGGAGCTCCCATCAGCACCCTGAGCAGAAGCACAAATTTGCACCAGCCCCCAAGGCTCCAGGGGCATAGGCTGTTCTGTCGTCATAGTGAAGTACCCCACACCATCCCTCTGCACAGAAGACTCCCGTGGCGTCTCACCTTTCTCACGCAAAGCTGAAGTCCTTGTTACCTAACAGCCCTGTATTGTCTTGCTCTTCATTAGCCCTCCGACCCCACCTCCTACTCTTGTAGTTCATTCTCACCGCACTGGCCTCCAGGCCTGCTGTGTGTGGTCATGCAGTGTGTACCCTGGACGAAGGCACCAGTAGGGGTGAAATCCAGCCCTTACTTTGTGAAGCCCTAACTCCGGGGCTGCTCCTGCCCAAAGGCACAATGGCACCAAAGCAGCCAGCAGTGGCTCTGCTGGCCTCCTCGCACTTCTCAGGCACGCTGGTCCAGTCCACCTCTGGGTCTTTGTGTTTGCAGCTCTCTGCCTAGCCTAGAACATTCTCCCTGCATATCCACATGCCTACTTCCTTTGGGTCCTTACTCAAAGTTCACCTCTGGATTATGCCTTCCCCTGCCCCCGTCTCTACTTCCTATCTCCCTTCTCTGCCTTGTTTTTTCTCCTTAACACTGGTCACAAAACACTATATATTTTACCCATTATCTGATTTGTCTGTCCTCCCTCCCCTAAAATGTAAGCTACTCTTCGTCTCTTCTGTTCACTGGTAGAGCCCTGGCATCTAGGACAGAGCCTGGCGCACAGCTGGCACTGAATGAATATCTGTCTCCTGGGCTGCAGGAGAACCCCCTGCTCCATATCCAGCCCCACCCTCACATGGTGCTGGAAGCCAGGTTGGTGTCCTCGTGCTTCAGCTTCCCATCCAGGGCAAGACCACGCTTCTCCCGGTTGTCACTGAGCAGTGGGGTGACCGTGTACACCTTGCAGAACGTGGAACTGGGAGATACCTGGTCACTGGGTGGTGGGACAAGAGAACAAGACTCTTGGAGGGGCCAGGATGGGCAAGGGGCAGGCTCTACCCCTATCACTAGCCCCTTCTATCTTTGGGCACACATCATAAGGGAGCAGGTTTTGGCTCAACCCACTCAAGGAAATGAATAGCTCAGAGATAATCAACTGTGGAGGGAATGCCCTTGAAAGTGGAGACAGTTTGGGAAGAATTCCACCCTCACTTCACATTCTCCTGGGCCTACTCTTCTCGGCAATAGGACTGCAGGTATTTGCAGGAAGGGGCAATAATAGGCAGCTCACAAGGCTATCATCGATTTGATGCTTCAACCATCCCTCCCCCAAAAGAGAAAGAAACGGGGTAGAAGGTAGATTTGAACATTACAATCTTTTCCCCTGAGATTGAGACCCAGGGCTGTGCTGATACTCACTCTTGTTCGATCTGAGCCACAGGACACTTGTACTGGGCAGTGCTGAAGAGGCAGATGTCGGCATACTGTCTCACTGTGGGGTGGGGCGGGGTCAAGCAGCTCTGCATGGAGCGCAGACTCCCGCCCCACTCCAGACCACGTGGCAAGGGCCCCAGGCCCACACTACTCCACCCCCTGACCTGTGGCCCTCCCCGTAGTAGCCGTAATCACCTGGCCCATATCTCATTCTGGGACAGCCTAAATTCTTGGAGCCCTGGTGGGTCTCCAGCACAGGGGTATGTATGTCCTTGGGCTGAGATCATGCAGAAGCCACATATGTAGCAGCTCCCTCCCCCAAGACCCGCTTCCAACCCCCAGCTCCTACCAGAGACTCTGATCTTCTTGATGGTCTTGGTGGAGTTGTTGGTGACGTGGACATTGACATTAAGAGGCTCCCCGTGGTAGTACAGCTTTTGAGCGGAAGAGGGTCAAGTTAATTGGCTCTAGTCTCACAGGTCCCATTATCAGTGTGCCCCTGACACACATTGTTTGGCCTCCTCCCTCTAAACCCAAGCCCACAGCAACTCTCCACAGCTAGCTAAGGCAGCCTCCTTTGAAGACACCATATTGACTTCCCCCCAGGGTCTGGCTTGCACTGTAGCACCTACATCACCCTCTCACACCCCACCTCCTTGTCCAGGGAAGCCTCAAGGTGCAGGGACCGGTCAGACATGAGGAAGTGGCGTGTGGTTTCAGCTGAAGGCTGGGGGCCGGGTTTCTCTGGGGCAAACTGCACCTTTCGGATCACCAGACGCACAGAGTTCCTGGGAGTGGGAGGGGTCAGTCCTTAGACACCAAACACCCACTTCCACCTCCCACAGGGGCTGGGGCTCCAGGAGCATGGAGAGAATGGACAAATCACAGGGGAGATGGCTTCCCTCACCTTTTGTGGCTTTTCTCTTCTAGTGATTTGGCACAGAAGGCTCGAATCTCAAAGTCTACCCCGCAGGCCTCAGGAAGGGAAAAAAAGATCCCATCTTATTCAAGGCCCCTGCCACCACCACCACTCCCTTCCTTCCCTCTTCCCTGGTCTTGGGCAGGGACCCTTGCCCCATCCTGGTTTGAGGAGCATAGGGCCTGGCCCTTCCTCCTCTGCCTCCCTGAGGCTTGGCATCTGTCAGAAGTTTGGTCCTGGCTGCGCAAGATGAGCCCTTGTACCCAGGTACATGCAGGTTAAGAGCAGGAAGCAGTGTCACACGTGAACAGTGACCATCCCATACACACCCCACATCCACTGGGGACATTACCTACCTTTTGTCCCACCCTGGCTTCTCCTCGACAGCCCACTCCCATCTCAGGTGCTTCCAACTCCTGCTGGACCCTGCTCTGCCCCACAAGCCCTCAGAACCGTTCCTCCCATACCTTCCCTGTGTCCTCTGGGCCTGGCTGCAGGGTGACAGAGCAGGGCAGATTCTGGGGTATCTGTGGCAGAGGAAAGGAGAGGCTTCAATTCCTCCAGAAGCCCCAAAATCTTCCAATCTCAACTTCAGAGTCTGGAGAAGTCTTGGGGGTGAGAAAGGAAGAAGGAAGGGGCCCCAGGGAGGAGGCAGAGAGGCAAGCACTTCCTGAATGCAGGGTGACCCTGAAGGGAGGTGGGTCTAGGGGACCCTCCTTACTGTTTTTACCAGATCTGCCTGTAACAGGTGCTTCACCCCCCAAACACAGTCCCAAACCCCTTGCCCTGAAGAGGGTGGGGGGGCATCCTCACTGTGAAAAAAAAGGGGTGGGCATGCTGGCCCAGCTTCCTCAGCAGCCGGTCCTGCAGGCGGGTGGGGGGCCGGGGTGGGTTGGGCATTGGGGGGAAGGCCTGGTAGGTGGCGATGAACAGGTCTTTGCGGAAGGACAAGCCCAGCACATCCAGGTCTTCACGGCCATAGCGGAAGGCGCAGGTGAGGGTCACAAACACTGGCAAGGGAGGGCAAGGTGAGATGGTCAGGAACCCCCCCCCTTCCCCAGTCCCTCCAGTCCCTAGCAGCAGCCGCTGTTCCTCAACAGCTTAAGACTTGCCTGAATCCTACTCCTGGCTTCTGCCTCAGCCTTCTATCTCTCTGGGGCCCCTCTCAATGCCAGCCCATTTCACTTCCCTGCCTCCCCACTTCCCCTTGGACTCTTGGAATTGGGGCCAGTACCTTTGCGGTCCTTCAAGTAGTCAGGGTCCACAAGCACCACACCATCTAGGAGAGGGACACATGAGGTCACTTCCCATTGGGGCCTCACCTCTGTTGCTGGGCCCAGGAACTTCTTCCCCTCTTGTAAGACGAGATGCCCTTTTTTGGGTACACTTACCTACAGGATCCACTTTGTCCAGGTGATCTACAAAGTCCCGCTTGCCCAAGTACACAGTGAGCTGAGGATGGAGAGGGGTCACAGGGAAGATTGGGTAGGAGGGTGGTAGGGCATCAGAGCCTCACACGGGGCTGCCCTACCCCTGGTCTTCCCAGGCTGGGGTTTCCAGGAGTTTCTCCTGGTTTCCTCTCAGTAGGGCTAGAAAGGGAGAATGGTGGGGCTTCCCAGACTACCCTACCATGAGGCTTTTTAGCTGTTCCCTAATACCTTTTCACACCTCTGCCTACCAGTTGGGTGTGTGTGGGTTTGTGGGTCAACTGCCAATTAGGGAGGGGCTGTGGGTGGAGTGGGGGGTGGCTCTCCAGGGGATCAGAGGCAAACAGGCCATAGCCTGGGGGCTGTTAATTGTTCCCAGCCGCAGGCACCCTCGGTTGGTTCCTAAGAGGGCTATAGGCATGGGCTTCTGGCTCCTCCCCCTTGGTCTTGCTTAGGGACCCAGGTCTGTCTCCACCCAGCTCTGCGGCTGGCTCAGGCAGAGCAGCCTTTGCGGCAAGGGGCTTCAGGAGGAAAGGAAGTCGGCTCTTAGTTGTCACAGGAAGTGGGGAGCTAGGGGTTGGGGATCGTCTGGGGGCAAGCTGGGCTTTGTAAGGGCCCAGGGAGGGTCAGGAAGAGAAGCACTGTGGAAGACTCACCTTGCAGTTAGGGCTCGACTTCTTGAAGACCCTAACAAAACAGAAAGGGAAACCCCACTGCCTCCCTCAGATTCAGCAGGGACCCCAGCACCAGGACCTTGTCCCACCCCAGCCTGAGAAGCAGAGCTTACCCAGGATTCCTGCCTGGAGGCTTTGGGACTTTGCCCAACCCTACCCTATCCCACTTTTTTCCCAGAAGGAAAGGTAACCACAGGTCCTAAATAGTCCCAACATGGCATCCCCTAAAGCTGGCTGTCATGTCAAACGCCCCCTCCCATCACTAGTTCCACTCCTCCCATGGCAATAGCCACTGGATGCCACCGGAACCACCCTGGTTCTTCCCAGGGGACCTCCCCGAGGGGTCCTGAATGGGCAGGTTGCAGTATTGCCTATAAGACCTAACACTCTTTCCATCTCTGGTCTGCAGCTCTAAAAACAGGTGGAGTACTTGGAAGAGTAATGACCCTGGCCTTTGCCTCTAAAATGCTTTCTACTATAGGCACTAAGCTGTGACCCTACTCCATTAACTTCCAACCATCCCCATCTCTGATCTCAGCAGCTTAAAAGCCTGTCTTTCAAGGCCCAGCTCAGATATCACCTTTAGAAAGCAGATCTAGCCCAGACCCCGACTGCTCCTTTTTTTCCCCCGTTCCTGTCACACCTTGTTTATGTTTTACTGGTGGTGTGATACAATGCAAGGGCAGTTAGCTGTGTACCGTCTACTGCACTAGATAGATTGTGCGCATCAGAGGCCTTATTCATTTAGGCATCCCCAGCACAATGTCAGCCATACAACGATGGTGATGCTAACATTTACTGGGTGAATACTCCACGCTCAGCACCATTTAAAGTGTTCCATGTGTGTTTTAATACTCTTAATAATCCAACAATGGAGGTTCTAATATTCCTATTTTATAGGTGAGGAAACTGAGGCACAGGAGAGATCAAGTATTTTGCCTAAGGTCACAGTGTAAATAGTGGACAAACAGGCAGTCTGACTCAAACTCCACGCTCCTAGTCACCAAACTATTATACTACCGTGCCTCTCTAATTGGCATCAAGTTTGTTGAATTGAAGGGGATTCACTTCCTGGTTGCTGAAACAACTAAGCCTGGACTCTACCCACTGCTGAAAAGGTATGAAGTGTCTGGCAACTCCAATGCTCTGGCCACTTGTGGGCTTGTTCTTTGCTGTACCACCTCCCAATCCATTCTGCCTTAGCAGTAATCCCTAGGAAGGGTCACCATATAGAAACTGAAATCCTGCCAACTGGCCATGTTTCCTCCAACCCTACCACCCGTTTCTGCTATAACAACTTCATCTGCCCCTTCTTTCCAGAAGGCCAAGCTATCCAAAGGCCATTAGGCAAAAGGTATGGAGGTCCCAATGTATCCCCATCAATAAAGGAGAGTAAACAGTGATATAGGGGCAGCTAGAATAAGCACCCCACCTCTTATACCAACTTGGGGACTGATTGCAATGGCATCATCCAGCTCTCCCTCCTCTTTATTCTGGTTTTCCTATTTGTCCCAGGGTTTCTTCCTATTAGGAACCCTGGCAGAGGGCTACGGCTGACTGCCATAATCAGTTGGCTAACTGGAATGTGGCTTTGGGGTCATTTCCCTGGAGCAGCTGCAGGGCACCTGCCCTCTGGATCCTAATCCAGCCAACCTCCCGCCATACTAGGGAGGAGTAGCCTGTGTATACTGAGACTGGCCAAGGAGGCGGAGTGTGGGGGTGATCAGGGAGGTGCCTAGTGAGGGGGGGCACAGAAGCAGATGCCCCCTCACACTTCCTGCTATTCTCTCCATTTCCTGTGGCCCAGAATTTGATGGGGGTTGGGGGAGTTGTGCCAAGTCAGCAGTCCCCCTTTGGTCCATCCTTCCTCCTCCCTGACCACATAACGGAAATCGGGGGCCTCCCTCAAGTGACTTCCCCTTTCTCTGGGGTGTTTAACCCCTAATCCAGGACACCAATCCTTCCTCTCATCATCTAATACTGGTTGACTTGGTGCTTAGAAACCTGGGTTCTCCTACTCTATGGGTGGGGAGTGGTGGGACTTATATGATCATGTTTTGCAGAACAAGTGACAGCTCAGGACCAGGCCCCTAATTCCTGATCCCCTGTGGATAGAGGCATACAGCCCCAGTCTTTTCCTCTTTTGCTCCAGCTCCCCAGGGACTTAGGCATTCACCCACTGCCCCCTTGGGGGCGTTGGGTCACAACAGGAAGTGGATTTTGCTAGAGACCAAAAAAGAGAACTCGGGTGTCAGTGGAAGGAAGGAGACTCGATTGCACAGAAAACATCCGGGGAGTGGATGGCGTGCCCAGAGTAGATATTGTCTCCTCTCACCCCCAGTAAGAAGGATAAGACCCAGACTCAGGGAGGGTCGCCACGCACTTTGCTCCCCTAAGATGAGGCCGTTGCTCCTAGCAACCTCAGGGAAGGCAGAAGTTTGGAAGCGGTGCTACCCGGCCTTCAGGACAGGTGGGGGCAGCTCCACTGCCTGTGGGGTATTGGACAGGAGGCTTTCCAGTGGATGGGCACGAGTCAAGGGGGAATCCCTCTCCGGGTATCCAGCCTGCCCGTACCCGACCCCTAGGGGCTGGCCACCTGCTCCTCCTTCCTCTGCCCCTGCATCGCAGCCTGCACGGGAGAATCCAGTCGTCCGGCCCCCACATCCCTGTGAGAACCCAGACGCCGCTATCCTGATCCCCTTCAGCACTCGCTTTCTGCAGGGGCCCTGGCATGCGTCCCCCTTATTATCCTGGAGGACCTAGGCGTGCGGCTCCAGATGGCTGCCCCCTAGGGACCCAGGCGTCCGGCTCCCGATTCTCTCCGCGGTGTCCTTGTCTGTAAACCGTCCCGGTACCCGCCCCGAGCCGCCGCCCACGTCCCGCCGCGTGGCCCCACCTCCCTTACCTGGTCCCGGGTTTCTCCCCCATGGTGCGCGCGCCCGCCGCCCGCCGCCCGCCGGGTTCGCGGCTCGCTCGCAGCCTCCTAGCCCGCAGCCAGGTCCCTGCTCCTCCCCGCGCCACTGCGCACGCGCGCCCTCCGCTCTTTCTCCTCTTCCCCCTCCCCACCCACCCCTCCCTCGGATCCTCGGGAACCGGGGCCAGACGCGTCAGCCCGGATCGCGCGCGCCACCGCGCTGCCCGCCCTCTTCTCTCAGACACGCGTTGTGATTGGCTCTGCCTCCGTCCCCTCCGTACTCCAGCCCCACCCCTCCGCGGGGATCCCTGCTCCCTGCAATTTTCGCCCATCTCTCCGCCCCTCCTCACTCCACTTATGAACTGATTGGGCTCCCTTAAACGAAGACGCCCGCCTTCTAGGATTAGGGTCCTTTGATTGGCTCCTTGCATGAAGGGGGTCCCCTCCCCTTTGTTTGCATTCTCAGTGGCAGCCGAGGCGTTGAGGGTGGTGGGGGCGGTGGGATGAGCTCAAGTGAAATCTGGGAAGGGGGGTGAGGGGATGCACGTTGGGTGAGCGGTTCCAGTTGCATGATGCTTTAGTGCGCGCCGCTCACCTTAGTGCTTGCAGCAGCCTTTGGTCCGCCCTCCCGCTTCTTTATTGTGGTGTGTCAGCTCCTCCTGGTGTCTGTCTTAGATCTCTGCAGGGTTACTTTTCCTAATTTCTCTGATTACCCATCGCCTCCCTCCACTCATTGCAGCTAGCATCCATCCCTCCCTCCCTCCCTCCTTCCCTCTCTCCCTCCCTCCCTGCCTATTTTGTGCTAGTCACTATGCTGGGCGATGGGAATACAGACATGAATTAACATAGACCCTGACTCCCTAGTTTAGATGAGGAGACACATAAGTAGGTATTATGATCCCAGGAATGCTATAATGGAGGTACAGCTCAGAAGACAAAGCAACTACCAGCATTTGGCTGGGATGAGGGTGAAGGGAATGCAGGCTGTCTAGAGGAGAGGACATTTGAGGACAATCTTTTTGAATGGTGGGCAGAAGTTGAGAAAGGGTAACCCAAAGAGAGAGAAGGGGGAGGCACATTCTGTTCTGAAGTGTTTGTAGACAGCACGAGAGATAAGGCTGAGGAGGATCAGACTGGAACAGAGTGTGAAGGATTTTGTATAGCAGATGAAGGAATGAGACTGATGCCCTTCCCTGGAGGACAACACATGGATCCAATTTTTCAAAGATTTTATTGGGAAACTGGGGGTGAGAACAGCGTTGGGGAATCGGGGAAGGGGAACAGACAAGTCACAGTCCTTTTGTTCTTCAGTCTAGTTGTGGAGGATGTCACTTCACTGGCCCATATTGGTATTATCATTGCGCTCTTCTCAGCTGAGGCAGATCGGTCGCCGGCCATTGGACAGTCACTCACGGCGGCTCTCGGCTGCTCACGCCGGCTGTCGGCCATTCACAGTAGCTTAGGGCAGCCCACGGCAGCCGCACTGCAGTCTACGCTGTCACCGGCGACTCACAGCAGCCCAGCTCCAGGTCGAGCTGTTGTTCACCATCTTAGCTGTAGAGGGCGCAGCGTCACTGGCCCATGTGGGATCCGAATCAGTGGCCCTGCTGCTCAGAGCTGGTGTCCCAAGCCAACTCTTAACCAATGTGCCACTCGCCTGGCCCTGGATCCAGTTTTTTAAGCAAAGGAGTGGCATGATGAAATTTCTCTTTTAGAGAGATAATTCTGAGCAATGTGAAGGGCGGAGGGAGTCGGGCAAGGCTGTTGTAGACTAAAATTAGTTAAGGGAAGATGGTGAACCATAGAGTGGAAGGGAGAAGAAGGGCCAGGCTGAAGAGCCATTTCTAGGTCAAAATTGACTGGACTTTGGGAGGATGATGGATGACTGATATTTTGGATTTAAGGAGCTAAAGTATTTCTTCTTCTTCCATCTTTTTCCATACTCCCCCTGCTTTCCCCAGATGAACTTCATATTCCCCCTTCTACTTTTCTGTGCAACAAAAAGCAATATGCACACAGACATTTTCTGATATTATCTTTAAGGTTCAAATACATGCCTTGCTCACCAGCTGCCATCTCCCCAGCCCTCAGTTCTATCACTACCTTCTAAGCTCACTCTTCATTCCTTTCAAGATTTAACCATTTCTATTAGACTCATGAATCACTTTTGTCCAAGGGTCATGACGAGAAGGTAATGAGATCTGTATTGCTACATGTCTAAAGTGCTTTTGGAACTGAAAGGTAAGTGGTCTGCATGGAATTAAAACTACTGTATTAAAGGATACTAATAGAAAGACAAGTTTAGAAAAGTATTAAAGGCCAGTAAGAATGAGATAACACCATATTCCAGGTGAGAAAAACCATCATCAATTTCTCTGAAAATTGTCTATAAATTTAACTGCATATCAAAATAACAAAGGGACTTTTTTTGTGCACAAAGTAATCTAATAATTTGAATCTAATAAAAGTAAAATTCAAGAGTCGAATCCAAGGGCCGTTTTTACCCCTCTTGTTCTGCCCTCAGTCTAATCTTTCTTCAAGTCCTGGCATTCTACCTCCAAAATACATTAACCCATTGGGTTATTTTTTTCTCTATTTCTCCATCTCCAGTGCCATTCTGGACCTGATCACCATTCTCTTTCACCTGGCCTGTTACGATAGCCTCTTACTATGACTGCTTCATTGCTCTCCTTGCTTCCCTCCTCGTCCTCCAGTCCTTTCTCCACACAGGAACCAGAGTGGTTTTTTCAAATGTAAGTCAGTTCTTGTCACTCCCTGCTTAAAGCCCTTCAGCGGCTTCCAAATATGATAACAAAATCCCATCTTTTCACCTTGGCTTACTAGAATCCATAAGATCTGATCCATACTCACCTCTCTAACCTCAACAGACACCACATGTATCACTCTCCCTCTCTTTCTCTATCCTTGATCCAAACTAGCCTTCTTTCTATCCTCCAGCAAGCGCATTCCCACCTCAGAGCCTTTGCTCATGCTGCTGCTCTGTCTGGAGAAACTTTCCTTTGATTCTGTATGACTGACACCATCCTGCCATCCTCAGATAGGGCTTCTTTTTAAGAAGTCCCCATTCCAACCCACATCACTCTTTTATCATATTACCCTGCTTTTTAAAAAAATATAACTCATAACGCTATCCAGAATTTATTCATTTTCTTACTTATCTATTATCTCTTTTGTCTAAAATACAAATCACTTAAGGAGGGTCTTATCTTTTTTTTTTTTAGCTGAGCCATCCTGCCAGCTGTTGGCAGCTCAGCAGCAGCTCAGCTCAGGCCGGACTCAAACTGCTGTTGCTTAGAGCTCAAACTCTTGAGTGAGCTCTTAACCAACTGAGCCATTCAGCCGGCCCACACTATCTTATTCTTATCACTTAGAATGGTGCCTGGCATGTAAAAGGTGCTCAATAAATATTTGAGTGTCTGTCAGATGAAAGAGAATGTCTGCTTTTAATTTTGACAGGAACTGGCAACATGCTCTCTAGAAAGGTTGTGTCAATTTACTTCCCTGCCAACCACATAGAATGGTACTTTATACTTTATACATCATCCCAATACTAGGTTTATTTATCTTTTTAAATTTGCAGGGCCTGGGTGTTGTATCATTTCTGTAGTTGTAAATATAGTTAAAAATGTCTATGGTTTCTTTCTTTTTTAAGATTTTATTGGGGATTTGGGGAAGGGGAACAGCGTTCGGGAATCAGTGAAGGAGGACAGACAAGTTGCTTTCCTTTTGTTCTTCAGTCTAGTTGTGGAGGACATCGCTTCACTGGCCCATGTTGGTAATATCATTGCGCTGCTCTTCCCAGGTGAGGCAGTTGCTTGCTGGCCATTCAACAGCCGCTCACGCCAGCTGCCGGCCACGCACGGTAGCTTATGGCAGCCCCACTGCAACCTATGCCTTCACCCTCGATTCAGGGCAGCCCAGCTCCAGGTCCAGCTGTTGTTCACCATCTTAGCAATAGAGGGCGCAGAATCACTGGCCCTCATGTGGGATCCAAACCGGGCCCTGCTGCTCAGAGCTGGCGCCCCAAGCCAACTCTTAACCAATGCACTACTCAGCCGGCCCCAAAAAACGTCTATGATTTCTGACAAGGGGTCCAGTTCCTTAGATATTAGTGCTGCCTAGAACGAAAAGTGCCGGGAGATTCCCTTACCTTAACCGATAGTTTTCGGATTTCAGCGCCTTTTGTCCTGACTACCCGCTCTTTAAGAGCTACTGGCCCGCCCCAGCCTGGCCCACCAGCCAGTCTTTCCCACCCTGGGAACTAAACGCACCAGCCCTCCACCCAGCTCAGGCTCCCTCCCAGCCAGATTCCGGAGTCCAACCTTCTTTCACCCAATGCGCATGACTATAGCCCCCTCCCCACGCCCCCTCCCCACGGGGCGTCAGTCGCGGTGTGTTTGCGTCATCGCGCCACGCCACAATTAGAGCCCCGGTGAAGATGGCGACAGCGGTTCTTAGCGGGCCGTCTGCGGGCTCCGCGGCTGGGGTTCCTGGCGGGACCGGGGGTCTTTCGTCAGTGGGCTCGGTTCCGCGTCTCCGCCTGCTGCTGCTAGAGAGCGTGTCTGGGTTGCTGCAGCCGCGACCGGGGTCCGCCATTGCTCCTGTGCATCACCATGTCCGCTCGGCCTCACATTTGCCCGGGCTCATGTGCCTGTTGCGGCTTCATGGGACGGTGGGCGGGGCCCAGGTGAGTCTGTGGCCTGCGTGCCCGCGGCCCTGTTGGAAGGTTGTCACAGCACCTGTGCGCCAGGTTCACGGTGAATTGTAGCTGCACTAGGGAGGTGGAGGGAAGGAGAGATGGGGGCACAGAGCGGATCCGGGTATCAGTCTGGTAGAGATTCACGCATTTCTTTATCAGCCATGAGTAGGAACTCAGAGGAGAGGATGGGCGTCATTTCTCTATTGCTGGGCCATCGGTAGTCACACATAAATGGGTTCGATTCCAGGCCTGGTCACTCATTAGACCTGTGATGTTAGCTTCTTTTTCCCTCTGGCAGTATCGCTTTTTGGGATTTTTTTCGACTGAGTGAATGCAAGTATTCAACAAATATTTACTGAGCTCTTACTGAGAGCCAAGTACTGGACGCTTATTTCTTGAAGGTGCGATGGTGTTGAACAAAATGTTATAAAACACTCCGAGCATTGTATATAGGGACCACTAACCTAATTTGGAGAGTTGCAGATATTTTTCTGAGGTACTGGAGTTTAAGATGAAACACTCCCCAACCCCCCAACCCCCCAACCCCCCAAAGATGAGTAGGGTTTGGATAGGGAAAGAAAATGGGAGGGACGGTTCAGTCATTGGAAAGGCCCTGTGGTAGGAAGGAACTGAAAAGAAGGGCATTGTGCCTTAGGCTCAGAGGTGGAGGGGAAGAGAGTGGGTGCCATGAGGCTGGTGAGGTGGGTAGGTAGTGGACAGATCATGCAGAGCTTAATCCTCCTTCGGGTGCAACTGATCTCACAGATTCATTGCACACAAAATTTCAAATATCTAACAGTTGAGTATCGTGACTCGACACTTCCGTATCTTTCCCCTCTACCGTAACCTATCGCCAGTCGTGTTTGTGACTTAGTACAGTAAAGACGTATTTCATATTTGAAACTTTGTGTGCAATGAATCTGTGAGATCAGTTGTGCCAAACAGAGGGTTAATAGATTGGCATAGCAGGGTTTTTTCGACTGTACTAAGAGTAGAATCTTACACCCATTCAGTTCTGCAAGCTAGAAACCCAGGTATCATCCATCCTACACACTTTCTTCTTGCTCACACATTTCCACATGCAGTCTATCAAGTCCTGTTGATTTTATCCTCTGAGTAGTTTTTAGGTCTGTCCACTCATTTCTGTATCTTTATCATTGCCCCCATCCTAGCTTGAACCCCCATCTTGTCCAGGTGAAGGTACTATAATAATTCTAAGACATAACATGACTAACCTATGGGAAGTGCTCCTTTAATAATCTCTTTCCCTCCGTCCTCTCAACACTCCCCCAGATTCTCTACCCATCCTTTAAGACCTACGAGTATGTACATGAGGTCCTCCTTGTCCAGGCTTTGTTACTGAGATCAGCTCCATGCTTCCTTCCAGGAAGAGGGTTGTCACAACGTGCTGGGTGGTTCAGTTAGACCCAAATTTATGAGGGGTGACCTCATTATTTATATTAACATTACTTCTCATTGTTGAAGGTGACAAAATTGTGCCTCTGCTATCTCGGCCCAGTTTCAGAAGCAAGAGCTGATTATATATTTTCTCTTCCTTCTAAATCTTCCTCTTCTGATTCATATGGTTCCTAAATATTTCTTAAATATTATCTATTCTGCCTGTAAATGTGTGATTTCTGTCATCATCTCTTTCAAGTCTTCCCGTCCTCAAGGCGAACTACGTGAACTTAATGTCTTGCTTATTTTCTGCAAGTGTCTAAAAGTCTAGTTTAATTTTGAGTAAAGAAGCTAAGAGTGATGTGCGAAGCTAGACCCACCCCCCTTTTAAGATTACCTATACCACATTTTGGGGTATATCCTGCCTTGAATTTTTTTCTACCTGTGTCTCTTGTATTGGGTCTTCAATATATGGAACTGTGTAGTTTTTGCTTCCCCATAGATTTTCATTCAATAAACATTTATTGAGTATCTGTTATGTGTTACCTACTATTTCTTATCTCTAGGTAGATAAATAAGACATAGTCTTTTCCCTCAGAGAATTTCTAGTCTAATTGAGATGAGTAATGAAGGTAAGTAAATAGGCTTGGAGCTTGAGAGAAAAATAATAGATCCATTGATTAATTGGTCCATCCATCTAGGCTTAATCACCAACTTTGCTTTCCCACAGGCACTACACATTCGAGTTCCAAAATGAGGCTACCTCAGCACAGTGCACAATTTCTGGCTTGGATTATAGCAACAATCTCCTAACTGGTTTCCTTGCCTTCACTCTTGCTCTTTTTAATCCATTTCCCACACAGCAGCTAGAGTGAGGTTTCTGAAGGAAAATCCTGATCATGTTTGCCGCCTTTTAAAATCCTTCAGTAAGTACTTGGGCTTTCTTGCCTCTGGGCCCTTGGTATTTACTATTCTACTTGGAATTGCTCTCTGTGCCGCCTACGTCCAAAAATCTTTTCAGTTCTCTGCTTATTTGTCACTGGCTTTGGGAAACCTTTCCAAATCAGCTATGATTAGCTGCTCTTTACTGCACCATATTGAAATTATTTATTCATTTTATATATACATACAGCCTCCCTCCTTCACGGCCACACAACTTGGCTTTGATTTGTTTTGTTTTTGTGTGTAACTAGAAGAAAAATTTATGGAAAATTTCAGATGATACAGAAGTAGAGAAAATAGTGTTTTGAACCACACCACCCACACTCCATCATCCAGATTGAACAATGAACATTTTACTAGTCTTATTTCATCCAACCTCTGCTTCCCCGCCCCTCCCACCCCCCACCCCCTAACCCCGTAGCATTTTAAAGCAAATCCCAGATCTCATTTCCCCTATAACTGCATGTGCTTTGAGGGACAGTGTCTTGTTCTGCCTTGTGTCTCCAGGGCTTCGTACTGTCCCATTCTCCACCAGTAGCCAGTGATTTAAAAAAATATATCAATAGGATTGCAGCATTCTCCTGCTTAAAACCATACAGTAACTTATCACTGCAGAAGGGCCTACATAATGAGCTTGTTTTTACCTCTTGGCCTCATCTTATATGACTCCCTGCCTGTCTTAACTATACTCCAGCCACCCAAGCTAATCTCTTTTTTATTTGTTTGTTTTTTAAGATTTTTATTGGGGAATTGGGGGATGGGAACAGCACTGGGGAATTTGGGGAAGGGGAACAGACAAGTTGCTGTCCTTTTGTTCTTCTGTCTAGTTGTGGAGGACGTTGCTTCACTGGCCCAAGTTGGCACCATCACTGCGCTCTTCCCGGGTGAGGCAGATCAGTCGCCAGCTTCTGGACGACCGCTCACGGCGGCTACTGGCCGCTCACACTGGCTGCTGGCTACACATGGTAGCCCATGGCAACCCACTGCCACAGGGACTGCAGCCTACGCCATCGTGGCAACTCAAAGCAGCCCAGCTCTAGGTTGAGCTGTTGTTCAGCATCTTAGCTGTAGAGGGCAGTGTCACTGGCCCTCATATGTGGGATCCGAACCAGGGCCCTCTGGCGTCCCAAGCCAGTTCTTAACCATTGTGCCAGTTGGCTGGCCCCAAGCTAATCTCTTGAGCATGCTGAGGCCACTGCTCATTAGTTCCTTTACTCTTTGCTGGGAAACTCATGGGAAGGTGAGCTGCTTATTTAGGTGTCAACTTACGTGTCACCATTTCAGAGGAGTCTTTCCTGACCACCCCTTCTTAAAATAAAACAGCATTTCTCGTTCCACTTCATTCTTTTTCACATTACCCTGCTTTGTTTCTTTCCTAGCATTTATCACTGTTTGAAAGAATTTAACTCATTTATTTTTGTCATGTTCTCTTTTCCCTTCTTATCCAGTTTAAATTCCATTACAGTCACTTCCTTGTCCCTCTCCTTTCATTGAACTTGCCTGGCAATTCCCTGTCTGTATTAAATCCAACTCTGTTTATTCTTGCTTGCACATGCACAGCTCAGTACTGCTTGAGAAAAACATGTATCCTTGCTGACTGGTCTCAGTTTAAATTCATGGCCATCATCATCTCAGGTGGACCCTTAATGTTGCCTAGCAATCCTGTTACTTTCCATTTTCCCAGACAACCTCTGATTATTTATCGCCATCCTTGCTTTTAGCTAATGACCTCACTTCCCATTTCACTAAAAAAGTAGAAGCAGTAAGATGAAAATTCCCATAGGTTTCCACCACCTTATCTGCCCGCTTTACTGCATCTGTGTCCATATGCTCTGCATTCCCTCCCATTACTAGGGATGAACTGGTCCGTGCTCCTATCTAAGGTCATCCTTCTGCTTGTGCACCAGCTCTATTCCCTTTCTACTTATACAAGTTCATTGCTTTAGCAGTTCTCTTCCACTTCTCCATCATCAGATTTTCCCTCTCTGTTGAGTCATTTTTATCAGCATACAGCTCAAAATTGTTTTAAAAAAATCCCACTCCAGCTCCTGTCCCATTTCTCTACTTTATGGCAAAACTTGCCATTTTGATTCTTGTTTGTACTTGGCTGTCTTTGATTCTCCTTCCATTCTTTTTTAAAATAACTACTTTGAAATAATTTAAAGTTTATAGAATATTTGAAAGAATAATTTAAAGAATTCCTGTATACCCTTCACTCACATTCCTAAATGTTAACTTTTTTTTTTTTTAATTTTTTATTGAGGAACAGTATTTTTCCAGGACCCATCAGCTCCAAGTCAAGTAGTTGTTTCATTCTAGTTGTGGAGGGTACGACTCAATGGCCCATGTGGGATCTAACCAGCAACGTTGATGTTATGAGCACTGCACTCTAACCAGCTGAGCTAACCGGCCGCCCCTTAAATGTTAACATTTTAAGTACATATTTGTTTTGTCATTCTCTGTATATATTGGGTTGTCAGAAAAGTCATGATGTATTTTTTTTTTTTTTCGTTGCAAAAATGTGTCATGACTTTTCTGACAACCCAGTATTTTTTTTGGGTTGGTGTAGCATAAGTTGCAGACATAATGCCTTCTACCTCTAAATACTTCAGTGTGTATTTCCTTAAAACAGGACATTCCTTTACATA